GAGAGACACCAGGAGAGAAATGAAGGGAACTTGGCCTGTGCTGCTGGACATGGACTGGGCCGTGGGTAGGGTCCCCTGCCCGGCGCCCAGATGGTCAGTGTTGGGGTGAAGTGAAGCTACTGAGCGTGACACTGGGAGGTAGGCATTTTAGGAACTTTAAACACGTTCATTGAGAAGATGTTTTTATTATAAATGAATTTGGGAAAATAGGCCTTACTGAATAAGAGTAGAATGCAACTCGTGTCACAGACGTTTCTGGGTTTATGGTTTGGGATTTAAGTGAGGGAGCGACATGCTCACTTGAACAGGTCTGAAGGTGTTTCAGTTTTCCTACACGGTCCACGTAAATATCTACATACATTTATCGTAACATTAATTAATCCCAAGTCACGCTTAGAAACTGCTACTGTTCAAACCCCCACACTGTGGGTGTTGAGGAAATTATCGTGTTTGTCACAGACATATTTTCTGAAAGCTGCTTTTTTCTTTGCCCTTTTCAAGTTTTTGTGTTCCTTTGTTTTCATCTGTGGAATCTGAGTTTTAAAATTCCAGATGGTTGACTGTCCTCAGTTGAGTATTTATTCTTTTATTTTTTTTCCCCACTTTTTTTTTTTTTGAAGTGGCTGTTCTCACATCAATGCCATATTTTGCATTTTATGTAGTTTTAAAAGTTAAATATAGATAGAATTAAATATATATATACACACACGTATGTATAGTAAACATGAGCAGCTGTTGTATCTAAGTGTCGAGTATGGATGAGAAACAATCTCAGTTTGTCTGTTCGGCCTAAGTATGATTTCTTGCAGAGCAGTAAAACTTTCTTGGAAGTTTTGTCATTGTAGTTTTTCTTTCAGTTAATGCTTGCTTATTTTAGGTTCCCTGTGATTTTTATCTCAGCTACCTCTGGTGACTGTGAAATTTCTAAAAAAATTTCCAAGGATGATTTTATTTGTGGGGATTTTATCTGTATATTTTTAAGGTCCAACCAAAAAGTTGAAATGAAATTCAGTAAGTTTAGCTATCACCCCAGATACCATCAGGCATTTAAAAAAGTCTATTATTATGTTTGAAGAGAAACTAAAGCATCTTATTACAGGAGAAAGTAAGGAGCGTTTTTCTGGGTCTCTAGAGATGGCATTTCCTGTCTCTCCTCTGATAGGAGAACAGAGCTCTGATGACTTCACTCCATGGCTCCAAAAGAAGTGCTTATTATCTTTTTCTAGAGAACAATTCTTCTTTATTTAGAGCTTGGAGGCACACTTTTTAGAGACACACTTGCTCACTGTCCAGTGAAGAAATGTTTTGCCATTGTTGGTTAATAAACAACAAACACATCTGGCAAGCTGGCTTGTTTGTTTAACTTTGTTAAAATAGCTTTTCCCAGGAAAGAGGGAAAAATGGAGCTGGATACAAATGACCACTGCTATCTGGGTCATGTAAGCTCCCAACTGTAAGGAGGGCTTTTGTTCCTTCCATTAATTTCCTAAGGGATCAGGCAGCACAACGTTTTTTTGTTGTTTTTTGTTTTTTTTTTGTAAGGAAGATCATCCCTGAGCTAACATCCGTGCTAATCCTCCTCTTTTTGCTGAGGAAGACCAGCTCTGAGCTAACATCTATTGCCAATCCTCCTCCTTTTTTTTTCCCCCCAAAGCCCCAGTAGATAGTTGTATGTCATAGCTGCACATCCTTCTAGTTGCTGTATGTGGGATGTGACCTCAGCATGGCCGGAGAAGCGGTGCGTCGGTGCGTGCCCGGGATCCAAACCCGGGCCGCCAGTAGCGGAGCGCGCGCACTTAACCGCTAAGCCACCGGGCCGCCCGCACAACGTTTTTTTGTGTGTGTTGTAGTCAAGTAAATTTCGGAGGAACACATACTATGAAAGAAAGATTAGGAGGAAAATCACCGACGCCTGGATTTTTTCTTAACCTCACATGAAATGTTACCATCACAAGTATCCTTTTCAAATTATTGTTTTAGTCCAACAGAATTGTGGCTGAGTCGTCTCATGGGAGACAGCTCACCGGTCAAGTCAAGGTCCACACTGTGCTTGAAAAATAAATCCACATTTATTGTTAAACTCTTAAATGAAGAAGTGGCAAGAGAATTTACTATGTAGGTTTTCAATCAAAATTGTTCCTCATGCTTCCAAAATATGACCTTTTTTTTGAAGACCATGGTTGTCAGAGAAGATTCTTTTGGTCATAAAGCCGAGTCAACCTTTCTGTGCTGTGTCCGTCACTTTCTGCGTGTCTTTGTGTGTGCATCGTCTCTCCACCCAGGACTGCCCTAGCTGTAAAGGGAGCTTTTGTTTTGTAAAAACATTCATTTTAAGAGTTGCCGTAGAGATGGAGCATAAACCTAGAGCACAGCTCTGAATTTGGTGCCGAGGTTTTATTTTTCTTTTTGCGTCTGTCTTTGAGTCTCAAAGTAAAATTTTGGGGAATGGTGATATCTTTTCAGCGAACTGCAGAACATGATGGTCCTACTTGCGAAATGGGGATAGTCTTCTTGACAATTTGAGCAAGTCACGTTTCTGAATGGACGAGGGACTTGCAGGACTGAAGATGCCTCACTGGGAGGGCACAGCCAAGCCTTTGTCTCTCCCAGAGCCTGTTCCTCTGTCTCCCTGTCTGCCCGTCTCTCTTTCCCCTGAGGACCTCCCTCACTCCTTCCCTCCATTCTTTTTTAAAGTGATATATGTAGCTTTCAGAAAACTGCTTGCGTTCTGTATAGCACTTCCTCCAAAGTTCAAGGTTTTCCTGACTCTGCCCTCAGCGCAACTTCTTCCTTTTCCCTCAGCCTTGATCCCTCCTTGTGTGTTGATTCCTACCCTTAGACTCGGTCTCTTTTCTCTTTTATCCCTGTCTCTATTATGAGACTTGAAAAATGAAGCCCCAAGGGGCTCCTCTTGCGTTCATAGAGACCGAAAAATTGCTGGATGGATAAAACTTGCTGTAAAGAGGCGCTTAACACAGTGAAACACAACCTCAAAAGAGAGACAAGAGAACATTCCCTTATAAAGGAGCACTGTTCTTAAAAAAAGAAATCTGGTTTTGTCTCCTCCTCCCTAGCCTCCTGATAGTCAGCTGTCTTTTGTGACTCAGCTAAGCATAGGTTCCCGCCAGGTAAGATGAAGGGTTCTGTGGCTGTGCTGAGGGGAGGGGGCCTCTTCATTTCTGCCTCTCTTTCGCCTTACCTTCTCCATAGCGCGTAGCACAGCCCTGCCACCAATGCGCACCTTGTCTGTCTGAAAACAGACAGCACATTCAAGCCCAGTAATTGAAGGAAGGTCGTTTATTAAAAGGAGCATTTATGATGTTGTGGAGAGGGTTTAGGAAAAGCAATAAGGGATGGTGCAGTACCCTGGGGCTAATCACGGTGGGGAGCTGCTGTGGTCCCCAGGTCTCAAAGGGCAGGGAGAGCATTACAAGAACTTCATAGATTAGCTGCGGGGGCTGCCTGACCAGAGCTGTGGCCTTTGGTTGGAGGACCCAGCCAACGCATAGCATCTTAGCCAGGGGAAGCTGCAGATATAGATTCCCGCCCTCTGATATGCCAGAACCGCTCCGTGGCAAATCTAACAGAACCAGAGGACAAGGGAGCCTGAAAGGACGCCCAGAATCTGACCCTCTCTCACCACCCGCATTACTACCCCATGGTCCAAGTCTCCATCATCTCCGAGGTTTTGCTTCATAATGTGGCACTTTTTTTTTTTAATTTTATTTATTTGTTTATTTTTCCCCCCAAAGCCCCAGCAGATAGTTGTATGTCATAGCTGCACATCCCTCTAGCCGCTGCATGTGGGACGCGGCCTCAGCATGACAGGAGAAGCGGTGCGTCGGTGCGCGCCCGGGACCTGAACCCGGGCCGCCAGCAGCGGAGCGCGCACACCCAACTGCTAAGCCACGGGGCCGGCCCACATAATGTGGCACTTCTATAGTCTATACTCGGAGTCATCCATGGTTCCTCAGCTCTTTCAAACAAAAAGTCTACAGGACTCTACACAGTCGGCCCCTTTCTTCTCTGACCCCATCTCCTAATGTTCTTAAGGCTCAGAACCTGGTCTAGCCCTCTGGTGACCTTGCTGGTCAACACCAGGCACGTAATACCTGCCTCAGGGCCTTTGCAGATAGCAAGGAGGTGAATTTATCTTTAAGTTTAAAAAGATCTAAGTAATGGAAACTTACATCCACACAAAACTTTTACACAAATGTTTGCAGCAGCATTATTTGTAATAGCCCCAAATTGAAACAACCCAAATGTCCATCACCTGGTAAGTGGATAAACAAATTGTGGTATATATCCATACAATGGAATATCACTCAGCAATAAACAAGAACAAAGTACCAATCTATGGACAACATGGATGAACCCTGAAAACGTTACACTAAGTGAACATTACAAAATAATGAAAGCGTTATGCCAGTCACAAAAGACCTCGTATTGTATGATTCCATTCACATGGACCATCCAGATCAGGCAAATCTATAGAGACAGAGAGTAGAGTGGTGGTTGCTTAGGGCTGGGGAGGATGCGGGGCTAGGAGAGTGGCAGCTAAGAGGTACAGGGTTTCTTTTTGGGGTGATAAAAATATTCTAAAATTGATTGTAGTGATGGTCACATAATTTTGTGACTATACTAAAAACCATTGAATTTTACAATTTAAATGGGTGACTTGTATGGTATGTGAATTACATCTCAAAGCAATTAAAGATCTAAGTGATTGCTATCTTAATAAAACATTCCTGTCATTTTAACAAGTGGTATATATGTCTTAGAATTTGTTATTATTGTATGTAAAGTTTTAAAGGGAACTGACACTGTGACTATTCTTGTTTTCATTTCCCCTTTATTTTTTAACTCTTAAATTTCTTTGGAGTGCACTTGCTATGTAGCCAATATTTGAATGTTATTTAAGTAGATGAATTTTTTTTTTTCTCGTGTGTTAATAGGAGAAGGAGGGGGTACTAATCTTGGTGTGTTTTTCCCATCTCTAGCACTTTCACGATGGCCGTAAGGCACAGCAGCACATAGAGACTTGCTGGAAGCAGCTCGAATCAGTAAGTGTCTGTATAGATCTCAAGAAATGTCTGCATAGATCTTCTCATTTGAATTTAATTTAAGGAATCAATCAGTAAGCACAAAACAAACAAAAACACTAAAGAAATGTCTTTAGAGATTTTTCTAATTTGAATTTAATTTGTTTCTAGAAACCATTATCTAAAGTAAAATGTTGAGCCAAAAGAGCTCAAGTAGGTAGTTTTCTAAAAGTCATATGGAAAGAACAAAGATGCGACAGTTTTGGTGGAAATAAATGCAGGTTTTAAAATAACTTCCTGGGGCCCCCGTGGCTTAGCGGTTAGGTGCTCGCACTCCGCTGCTGGCGGCCCCGGGTAGAGATCCCGGGCGCGCACTGAGGCGCCGCTTCTCCGGCCACGCTGGGGCCATGTCCCTCATGCAGCAACTAGAAGGATGTGCAACTGTGACGTGCAACTATCTGCTGGGGCTTTGGGGGGGAGAAAAAAAGGAGGAGGATTGGCAATAGATGTTGGCTCGGAGCCGGTCTTCCTCAGCAAAAGGAGGAGGATTGGCATGGATGTTAGCTCAGGGCTGATCTTCCTCACAAAAAAATAAATAAATAAAATAACTTCCTGAAATTATGACATATAACAAATCAGTTCAGAGAAGAATGCTCTTTGGAGGTTTAGATAAAATCGTGTCTTCTCATAGGAATCTCATGGTTTCATTAATAATTATTTTCCCCGCCACCATTTTTCTTTGCTTTTAGAGTAAAAGACGGTTTGAGCGGGATTGCAAAGAGGCTGACCGAGCACAGCAGTACTTTGAGAAAATGGATGCAGACATAAATGTTACAAAAGCAGATGTTGAGAAGGTAAGGTGAAAGTGAGCCTTCGTTTCATTTCCTTTTTAATGTTCGACACATATCCTCCCAGACTGACAGTCCCTGAGTTCCCCTTTCTGATGCAACCGCAAAAGACCACTCAACTTGGGATCGTTTTCATTTTGTGTCACCTGTCATGGGCACCAGACGCTAAAATTTGGGGAATCTTCGTGTCATGATTCGAGCAGTTTGTTGATTTGTTTAGTTGCCAGGATGATATCATGGAGACCTAGACCATGAACGTACCGTGGGAGGGTGGTTTCCGGAGAGTGTGGCTTTCTCTTAGTGGCTTTTCAAAGAAAAAGTCAACCCCTTGAAAGCTGGAGCAGACTGTTTAGCACCATCTGGAAGAGCCTGGCTGCTTCTAATGCTTCCATTAAAAAGATAAAGAGGCTCACACTGCTGGCCTGACTTCTAATTGACTCATTCAGGTTGCTGACAGGTTATAGTTGAAGGCTTGTATTCGTAAGTCCTCTCAAAAGCCTTTCTCCAAATGGACATGTATTGGCAATTAGGAATATTTCAAAGCTTCTACTGGATCTTCTTGTGGGTGGGTTGTGTGTTTTCCCTAGAAGCTGAATTTTCTTTTTATGAAAGTCATCAATATAGTGTAAACAAAATTAGGCTGTTAAATAACAGTATTCATTCATTACTGCCCAAGGCTATTTTGGCATTCACAGCCTCATGTTTTTTTTGTGTGTGTGAGGAAGATCAGCCCTGAGCTAACATCCATGCTAATCCTCCTCTTTTTGCTGAGGAAGACCGGCTCTGAGCTAACATCTATTGCCAATCCTCCTCCTTTTTTTTTTCTCCCCAAAGCCCCAGTAGATAGTTGTGTGTCATAGCTGCACATCCTTCTAGTTGCTGTATGTGGGACGCGGCCTCAACATGGCCGGAGAAGCGGTGCGTGGGTGCACGCCCAGGATCTGAACCCGGGGCTGCCGCGCACACTTAACCGCTAAGCCATGGGGCCGGCCCTACAGCCTCATGTTTTAGACGAGGCGAAGCCCTGTGTTTTCTTAGATTTCTTTCACTTTTGCCAAATGACTTGGAGATGAGTTTAGTTTGAAAATTGTGTGAATTAGTTATTCAGTTTTGCCCAATTCTGCCAAGTTCCTTGCTTAAAAACTATGTATATATTAGTATGCCTTCCTCTAAAATTACCAAATATATTAAAATACATAGTCTCAATATCTATATTTGATCTTAAGTGGCAATGTTTACTTTACCAAAAGATATATTAATTTGCTGGTAAAATTACCATAAATTACCATGAATTTATCATGAGTTCTCATTAAATAGCCAACTCCCCCAAGTATTTAAAATGTTATTCAATTAAAATAGATTGACCCAAAGTTTATCAAAAAAACCAGTTTGGGTTAAATGAGGTAAAATCAGTATGTGTGTCCCAGAAACATATCTAACACAAATGTATGCATTCTTCATCAAATATTTTATTATCCTAAATGTAAAAGTGGAGTGATTTTTATTCATTTAAAGACTTTTTGAAAGAAACTACTTTTATGGCCTTTTCTTGGTGTAAAATCTGTCCACGCTCATTGTAGAAATATCTGAAAATACAAACAACTAAAAGAGGAGAAAAACATTAAAACATGCAACTATTGCTAATAAAATGTATTTTACCTTTCAGAGCCTTTTCTTAAAAAAATTGTGTGTATATTATATACGTACAATGTAAAGAATAATAACAAAAGGAACACTTGCTGATCTACAACCTATCTTAAGAAATAAAATCTTATTGGTGCCTTTGAAGTCTCCCTCCCTAACTTCATCCTTTTTCTCCCCACCCTAGAGGTAAAGTTTACCATTAATTTGGTGTCAGTCATCTCCTTGCTATTCTTTATAGCTTTACCGCAGTTATATTGTATCTCCAAAGAGTATATTTTGTAATTTTGCCTCTTTTTCACCTTTATATAAACAAAGTCATACTTTCATTTATTTTCTTCTGACTTCATTATTTTTCATGTGATATTATGTTTTTTACTTAATTCGTGTGGCGTATAGAACACATGACTTTTATATATTAATATTAGAGCCAGATGCCTTGCTTAACACTTTTTATTTCTGTTTCGGGTTCTCTGTAGAGACAGTCCTATCACCAGCAAGTAATGGCAGTTTTATTTCTTCTTTTTCAATCTGTATGCCTTTTGTTTACTTTTCTTATCTTCCTCTGCTGGTCATGACCTCCATTGTGCCGGTAGAGCAATTATTGTGGACTTCTTATCTTGTTCTTGATTACACAGAGAGTGCTTCAAATGTTTCCCCACTAAGCAGGATTTTAATATACCCTTTATCAGGTCAAGGGATTTCCCTTTTTTTCCTGTTTTCCCAGGAGTTGTTTTTAAGCTTGACCTGACATTGAATATCATCAAATACTTTTTCTGCTTCCTTTCTTCCATTAATGTGATGGATTACATTAACCAGTTTTCTCGTATGGAACCAAATCAGCATTCCTGGGACAAATCCAACTAGGTTGTGATGTATTATTTTTTTATACATTGCTAAATTCATTTTGCTAATATTTTACTTAAGGTTTTTGTATCTATATGCATTGAAATTGGTCGATAATTTTTTTTTGTCTCTTCTAGTTTGCTTTACTTATTAGTTTTGGACTGTTGCTCTTTTTTCTGTTTTCTGAAGTAATATACGTGAGATGAAATTAACTGTTCCTTAGATGTTTTGTAATGCTTTGTTGTGGGAAAGTTTCTAACTACTGATTCAATTCCTTTATCGTCTGCTTTTTCTTTGATTGATCCTGGTGGGTTATTTTTTCTAGAAATATATCTGTTTCTTCATAAGTTTTCAAATTTATTGGCCAAAACTTGCCCATAGTATTCTCTCACCTTATTTTTTGCCGCATATGTTGTTGTGTGCCTCTAATTTATTCCGTTTATTTATACCTTTTTTTGGAATTAATTTTCTAAAATCATTTTTATTAGTATTTTCCAAGAACCAAAATTTGTCTTTGTGGAGCTTCCCTTTTCTATTTTTATTTTCTATTTCATTTAGTTTCTTTTTCTTCTCCTTCCTCTTTTGTCAATGTCTTTGGATTTATTCTATTTCATTTTTAAAAATTTTTTTCTTCAAATGCTTACTTCATTTCAACTTTTCTTCTTCTTTTTTTTTTTTTGTGAGGAAGATCAGCCCTGAGCTAACATCCATGCTAATCCTCCTCTTTTTGCTGTGGAAGACCAGCCCTGGGCTAACATCCATTGCCAATCCTCCTCCTTTTTTTCCCCCCAAAGCCCCAGTAGATAGTTGTATGTCATAGCTGCACATCCTTCTAGTTGCTGTATGTGGGACGTGGCCTCAGCATGGCTGGAGAAGCAGTGCATCGGTGCGCGCCCGGGGTCTGAGCCTGGGCCGCCAGCAGTGGAGCACGCACACTTAACTGCTAAGCCACGGGTCGGGCCCTCAACTTTTCTTCTTTTTGTAAGCATTTAAGTGACAAATTTCCCATTTAAGTACTGTTTTATGTATTATTATTATTATTATTCATTTCCAGATATTTTTCATTTCTTTTACTATTTAGTCTCTCCTATGACTTTTTTAGGAGCATATTTTGAAATTTCCAATCGTATGATGTATTTAAACTTATCCGTTTGTTATTGATTTCTGACTTAATTGCATTGTAGTGGTAGAAAGCCTGAGTTTGATTTTCTGTTTGTTGAGACTTGCTTTATGGCCTAGTACTTGGTCACTTTTTATAAATGTCCTGTAAGTAATTGAAAAGAGTGTGTCTTCTCCATTTCTTGGTTGCCAAGTTCTACGTATTTTCATTAGATCAAACTTGCTGATTGTGTGATCCAGATCTTCCCACCATTAGGGATATTTTGTCAGCCTGTTGCAACATTTCGTGTGAAGGATGTGTCACTTCTTTGTGCTTTCCTTTTCCTTGTCTGTAAAATGGGAACACAGAACAGGGTTGGTACAAAGTTTAATTGAGTCAACGTGTACAAGGTACTCACAGCCATTTATGGCCGTGGCCAGTGCTCCCTACGTTCACTAGCATGATGATAACGGTGGAAGATTTGCCATTTTCTGCCAATTTTGCTCCTCCATGGTGAAGTTATTTTATGAAAAAATAAAGTTTAGAATTGTAACATCTTCGTGTGATGTAACTTTTCTTCAGCATGTGGTGGTCTTCCTTCTGCCATCATGCTCTATGCCACGAGGTCTATTTTACCTGCTGTTCACCAGCTTTTTCTTTGGGTTAGCGTTTGCCTGGCAAATCTATCCCATACCTTTTGGTCTGCATGTTTCTTTGTCCTCATATTTAGATGTGTCTCTCGTAAATGGCATATGGCTAGATTTCTTTTTAATCCAGCCTGAGAGTCTTTATCTTTCACCTGGAGAGTTTGGATCCATGGGTGCCGTCTTATTTGTGTTTTCTATTCGTCTCTCTTTTTCTGTGTCTCCTTCCTCTTACCCTGACACTCTTTGTTTCTTGTCTTCCTGGATTTTGAAATTTTTTTGTTTTGTTTTACTTTCCTCATTCCATTTTTCCCCTCTACTCCTTTGGAGATTATGTCTTCTATTTCTGTGTTTGTGTTGGATGGCCTAGACATTTTAACATCTGTATTCAACGTAAACTACAAAGTAAATAGGGATCTTTACTGATGTCCTCCCTAACAACACTTAACCAAAACCAGCTCACTTTGACTATTGCAGTTTATTTTTGAATATTTTTGGTTCAACTACACAAAGTGGGCTTTAGTAATTTTATACAGTTCTGTAAGTAATTTTCTATTTTCTTTGTTTACAGTTTCTTTTGTATCTGGGATCTTATTCCTTCTTCCCAAAGGACGTCCTTTAGAAGTTCCTTTAGCAGAGATTTATTACAGTAAAACCTCAGTTTTTGTTTGGTTGGAATTGTCTTTACTTCACTCTCATTCTTGAAAGATGATTTCTCCATGTATGCAATCCTGGGGTGATTGTATTGCACCTGGAGGATCTACCCACCATCTCCT